TGTTGTTGTTGTTGTTGTTGTTGTTGTTGTTGTTGTTGTTGTTGTTCCCTCCCCTTCCTGTTCTTTGTTGCAAATTTCCATCTCCTCTCCTGATTAAGCATACATTTCCACGCATCCCTTGGTAACCAACCAGATTGATACTAGTGCTGGGAGTACAGCACTTGCTCTGGGCGCTGKCTTGCTACTGTTGGTGTTCATCCTGGTACCAAAATACAGCACAAAACTGATTTATTTTTTAAAAATACTTGGCTGATTGTTCCAAAACTTCTGGATCCCCTCTAATTTGATGCATTAAGGATGTTCAACACACTGGTTGTCTATGTTATGGTGGAGGGGAAGATGGTGTTTTGCTGGTTACACTGCAGCTTCTTTTGTTGCAATTTTTTGTCAATTTTTKCTGTTGCTTAGATCTCCTGTTGCTTCTAAACAACTTGGTCCATTGATCCGCAACTTCCGGATCCTCTTAATGTACTAAGGATTAGTAGAACACTTGTCTTGTGARCACAATTGGTTGGATATTGCTGAAGAATTAAAGAGGTGACAGCTTGCTATGCTGGAGGTTCTTGTTGTTGTTGTGTTAATGAGTTTTTTTAATTTTCCGTGTGCAGACAAATCAACAAGCTGGAACTGGTTMTCATCAAAATCGACATAGCAATATGCAYATGTATTAAAAGACAAGAAAAATCCTTTCTGATTGGTGCTTTTGCTAGCTTGAACAAGAAAGCAGACGACGGCTAACAACTGGCGCATTTTATGTACTCATAACCTGTTAGAAATCAATAAGTCTTCTTTCGCACTCATACTCCTACCGGTATTTAACTGGTAATATGCGGTACGAATAACCTTCGTAGAGTAGAACGTCAAAGACAGCATGATTCTCATCAGCCTCACACACTCAAGATTCCAACGTTTAAATTGATTAGGAAGCTTGCATATTTCGTTGATGCAATTATCTTACCCAAATTATGCTTAAGTTACGGTGCAAAAGAAGAATCTATTCGACAACAGGGCTATTTATTCATCCTGAGGTGCATTTGGAATATTAAATGTTGAATGTGACGATTAGGYTTAAAATCATATTGAAGACATCGAAAAGGTTGTTTCTTTTGTTAGAAGAATAGTGTCGAAGAATTGAATTGCCATACCGTACTTTGTGGTTCTTCGAGAAACTTCTTCCCCAATATGTGTTTAGATATCGTTCTTTCTKACATTTACTAAGTGATCCATTGACGTGGTGAGAAAAATGAAAATTAAAACAAGTTCTTCCCATTTATTTGGTAGAATTCTTCTTATCGTTCTTTTATTTTTCTTATACTGCTCATGCTGATCTTGAGTATCATCTTCCAGGAACGGAGATTCAAGTACTATTTTGATAAGCAATATTTTYATTACTTATTGTTCTYCAATAGAAGCCTTATGGTTCGTCATTTCAAAAATGATTTTATCATAATGCCGAGTATGCATATCGCCCTATCGGTACTTCCTTCGTTCTTCTGTGATGACTTCCATCTGTCTCAGTAGCCGTTATGATTCCTTTTCTGGTCATTGCTCATTGAAGGGCACTTAACCATTTTCTTTACGGCATGTATAAATATTACTATCGGTTACAGAACCATGAACAGGATAYTACATCAAATGTTTTAATTATTCTTTAGAAATACAGTGTTAAGTACATTTGTGGTCTAAGAACATTGCGAGGTTTCTTCTCTCCTCACGCGCTAAAAAGAAAATCATATGTTATCGGRTGATCATTCACTTTCGTTGCCACGATTCTACCCTTTTGCCATGAATTGAAGAACAGAATTGTCTCTTTCGCAACGACCTTAAGTAAGTTTTTTAAATACTTCTTTTCATTCAATTAAGAGTCTTCGAAAAAATTATTTTTTGTAARTATGGTTCTTTTCTTCATAGTAAAAGCTCTAAATCTTCTGCTGTTTCTTTCAGTAGCAGAATAGAATGGAAGTATTGAGAATACGGCGTCGCTTCTGTTAACATCAACCTCAYCGGGATATCTTAGAGCGCTGATCCACGGAACAGGCCCATGTTAGGACGAGTGGCCATAATCGTTACATTAGCGTGAGTCTAATCACGTGAAAAAAAGGTGTATGAAAAGTTGAAAACATACCCCCCGCTGAGAATATCGTGAAAATATGCGAAGAAACAATTCCTTGCTCTTCTAACACGTGAGATGTACGACAAAATTCTTCTAGTGACGGAAAAATTGACGTCAATTCGAAAAAAAAATTATCACGACTACGAGTGCGCGTAGCGTACATACCACTCGTTTCCRTGGCGTKTGAGCACCGGAATACCTCTCACGAAGCATTATAACAACACTCTTCTTTTTCTTCCAACCATCTACAGTAAMGATCTTAATTGCAATACCCACTCTATTGACTACTCATACAAATCATCGAACCTGAAAAACTTAAGTAGTTGAAGCAATCATAATGGTGCCACGAGGTAAAGTTGGAAATTCTCAGCATTTCCCCACCAATCTTCACATCTTATTGGATGAAGCTGAGAAAGCAGGTCATGCTSACATTGTTTCCTGGTGTTCCCAAGGCCAATCTTTCCGAATTCACGATTCAGAGGCTCTAGTTCCTCTTCTAGCTAAGTATTTCCGCCAAACGAAGTTCAAGTCCTTTCTCCGTCAACTCCAGTCGTACGACTTCAATCGAACGACTCGAGGATGCGATAAGGGAATTGTGTCGCACCCGCTCTTCGTGAGAGGTAGACGATCTTTGTGCTTTCAAATGACAAGAAAGCGTGCGGTTACTTCTACTGTATCTCAATCTGGCCTTGGTTCCAGCTCGGATTTGTTGTTTTCCCGATCCGCTGTTCCCAGCAACGGTATCGCACCCATTCGAAAAGCCTTTTCATCTTCAGCCATCCGTAATCAACGCATGGAATTGCAGAGGCTTGCGAAATATGCCGGGATGTCGGAAATGAAGAACGCTACCTTCGACCTTCAGGGGAATTCAACGGTACTGAAGCAGCCGGTGATRTTTGATCCCAAGCTTGCCTTGAACAGCCATGTCCTCAAAAAGGCAACCTCAGATCCTGATATTGCCAAACGTCCTTCGCACGCTCTCAACTACAAGACACAGCAAAAGAGAGGATATCCTGCGCCAACCATTATGAAGAATCCTCAGCGAGGTAATGTTTTGGAATGTACTGGAATCGATCACTCGTTGAAAGCCAATGTGTGCTTAAGTGACGTGCGAACCTCTCAAGAAGCCTGTCGCGATTCGATCATCGAATCATCTTCCACGATGTGTGGCAACCCACAGCAAGTTCCTTCGCAGCACGAAGCTTTCGCACACAGTCATAGGGGCCAGAACTATGGTGAAGGCTATCGCGTTCAGTATGTGCAAGATCAAGTACCATGTGGTGGTCAAGATAAAGAGTGCCAAGGGCGACAATCGAATTCACTGCAAAGTAAAGTCCAGCCACAGACAACACAACGTCCAAAGAGTGACGAATCACAAMACCAAGTGCAACATCAAACAATTCCCCATGACCAAAGACATGCACGACAAGGCCATTACCAACAGGCGCAAGTACGRGCACAGAATATACAGCACCAGCAAAATACTCAACCCCAAGCTGAATTGGTGTACTCCCAAAACAACACGCTTATTCAAATCAAGGAGCTGAGGGAAAACATGACAAAGCAGTTGGCGTGCGGTGATCAAGGAGATCAACATCCGCCTCTAAAAGTCCAAAGTCATGGTCAAATTCACAACACTAATGAGACCCATCTAGCTCAACACGAAACGCTCTTCCAGCAACAGATGGAACACTTGCGTGTACAACATCAGCATCATCAACGTATGCTTTCACAGCATCATCGTCAACAGCGACAGCAGCAACAGCAGCAGCAGCAGCAACAGCAACAGCAACAGCAACAGCAGCAGCAACAGCAACAGCAGCAGCAGCAGCAGCAACAACAACAACAGCATCATCATCATCAACAGCGGCAGCACCATCAGCGGCAGGATCAACAGCAACGGCTTCTGCTTACACTGCAACGCTATGAGCCACAAGGAAAACAACAGACTCAATTTGCACAGCCATCTCTTTCGCTTCACCAGTCCACTCAAATGTACCCCAATTCAACGCATTACGAGCCTGTTGCTCCCGTAGAGTCATCATCTAATGATGATGTTCTATTGGGTTCTGGTCCTCCCGTTACTCCAGATTGCAGCTATCATCAAAGCCCAAAATCTACTGCTTTGTATATTCATTCTGCTCCACCAAGTGATTTCAACTTATCTTTCTCCACAACCGAATTCCAAGTTGACTATGGAGTGAAGGGCGACGACAGCAAGTTTTCTACTTTGAAGGCTCCCACTCCGATTGAAGGGGATGGAACTTGTGTTACTACCAGTGCGCCGTCATTCTCTGCAGCTATTGCCACGAATGCTTATCAAACTGGTGAACTGACTTCCTCGGACGTCCTCGCCACTGGTGGCTACAGTGCAATGCTTCATCTTACTACAGCGAAGTCGTTGGAGCCGTCTCAGAAAAAACATACTGTCGCACCCACATCTTTCTCGCATAGTAATAATCAGCGACAACAACAGTATCATGAACAAGAATATAAGCTTCACCAGCAGCAACAATATCAACCACCCGAGCAACAGCAGCAGTATTATCAGCAGGAGCAACAGCAGCAGCACTGCGAAAAGGATGATTTTGGTGTACTGCCTCTCACCACTTTGAGCAGGATCGAATCTGGCACTGTAGATTCTCATCTGCGGAAAGGCGAGGGAATGGAGGAATGGGATCTAGATTTATTGTTGTGAATGTGACGAATGCAGCAAATGAACTTCGAGATATCAATTTTTTTTCTTCAATTTCTCTCAATGAAGTTACATTTGTTGAAGGTCATCCAGGGGGGTCTTCATTTTGTATATAATTGTATTATCATTTAATGCACAATCGAATAAAGCAATAGAAAGTTGTTATGCATACCGGTACGGTTTGGAACATACATCTKTGTTTATTTTTCAGCAACCCGGTTTGACACTAATGAAAACATTCTCATCTGCAATCGGGATTTGTATRTGATGTGCCAAGAGAGATGGAATTTAGAACAGCAGCAACTCCGCATATACATTCTGTCACTTTCGACTTATAGACCACCARAGCTTCTGACTATTCCGAGTAACTTACGTTCCAACGATCTTTTTTTTAATGCTCCTGAATCGTGAAAGGCTTCAGATGTGCTCTTTGAAATAGCAAAATACAAAGTATGTTCGAAAAAGWTGCTTTGTAAGGTTTTCCTAATATTCTATTCTATGCTCATCCCACGACAAAGTTGCGCAGAGTTKGTTACTCAAAAAGTTACGAGATGGAACACTGATGTACCAAGAATGGTACAAGTATCAYCAATACTACTGATGGTTTGCGCTCACTTGGACCAGCACAGGTTGCATCGCTCGCGCCATGCAACTGCCACCAACTGCGAAGGCTGTGGCAATAAATGCCCATGATGCACACCATCCAAAGTTTCCCAGAAGGTGGCTGTTAACTCCAAGAACACCAGCAGTAGTGAAGAAGCCAACCGCATCCRTGAACGACAGGGCCACAGATTTGTGTTCCGGAAAGATGTTGACGGACATGAGATTTCCAAATTGGTAAAATTGAAACGATACAGCGCTCGAGACAAGACCTGAAAGCAAAGTAATAGCCGSTATGAGAAGGTTCGTGTTTCCGCCTACCAGTTGAGATACCCCATCGATTCCACAAACAGCTAGACCCAGAGCTGCTAGAACTGATATTGYACGATTCTTTTTGATCATTTCCATCTTTTCTTTAATGGTGTCCATCTTGGAAAATCTATTGCCCCTCAAGAGTCCAAAGACGAATCCGATTGTGACGGAAGAGGTAAGTCCTGCAGCMAGAGAACCTTCGGCGAAAAATCCGACAAGAAAGAAAGARTTGTTAGAGGAAGAAAATCTACGATAAAATACCCCGTATCTTTTCCCGCTGACATGAGTATCGAATCCGAACTTACTCGAGATACCACCAACATGCTGCAAGAAAGGTCCGATGAGACGATCACTGGATCGAGCGAGAGAACCCAAGGAATGACCTATTCCAAACATCCAAAATATAGGGTTGCTGAAAATRGACTTGATTGCGGCCAAAGCCGACTTGTTTTSTTTCTTTCGGCCCTTCAACASATTTCTTTCATTTCCGATATTGTTCACGCTGGGTACTACGTCYCCACCAATATACATGGCAGCAGAKCCGATCAGCGCCATCAGCGATCCAAAYCGACAGACTGTCCTCCACCCTGAAGCTGCAAGCAACCCGGCCCCAAATGTTTTCGCTGCAAGGGCTCCAATAGTGCTGGACAAACTCAAAACGGTGATCCCACGCAGTAACTTCGCAGGACTTTTATCGTATTGCTCCATAATGAGGGCGGAAATCGAAGTCCATTGAATGCTTGMCAAAAAATCGATGCCGACCAAGATCAATCCAATAGGTGCAAGGGATCGCGAAAATGACATGTACAGTTTCAGTGAAGATAACGCCACAAGATATATCCACGAAGATCGCTGTCCACCGAGATATTGGCAAACAAATCCATTCACGAGTTTGCCCAGGCCACCACCGAGGGAAGCCATGCCGGCCACACTTGCACAAAAGGCGGAAGCAGCTTGTGGATTCAGGTTGTGTTCAATCGCCATTGCTGGAACAGTTACGACAGACAACGTAACGGCAGCGATGTTACAAAAGTAGGTCACAAAGACAACAAAATCAAGTTTCGAAAGTTTTCCAGGGACATCGACATTTTTCAAGGCTACACTATTCAATTTTGAAGTAGTGGRAGTCTCTTCCGTCGCTGGGACTACTTCGGAAATCTTGATATCTTCCGTCTTGTCAAAGGAAACGGTTCGGAATTCGTAATGATTGTGATACGCCGGACGATGTATCTGATTCAAAAAGGACGTCTTCCTGCTTTTTAAGGCACCTCCCTTGGGAGGAAGTGCATAGCTGCTGCAGTAACAGGATCCATTTGTGGCTAGAATCAATGCCGTGATAATCATGCGYAGGTAGAGAGTGCGGAAGTAATGCATGGTGCGATGCGTCGAATAAATATTCAAGCCACGGCAGATTCCTCAATAGCGATTCTGATACAATGCGAAGTTCGATAGCTTAAAAAAAGTAKTGTGATGGAGTTCAAATGTGCAGCTGTGTTTACTTTAGCTGAAGCACATTTTAAATTCTAAACCTTTGAATTGATAATGTGAATCATTATGATGGCAACCGCYGATGGTCAGCCAGAGCCTAGAGTTGTCATCGAACTAGTGCAGAAGCACGAGGAAAGAATTTTAAGAACTTTGATCAAGCACGTACGGATTCGAATCAACCACCTTCTCCGTAGGTGAGTACGGTAGTACCAGATAACACGAAGTTCGAATTAGAAACTTACGTGTGCAAAAGCATGATTGAATTCATTCTACGGTACGTACTCGTACTCATATTCATATCGCACGGTATCGTGCCTACGGCATTGTGGTACGGTACGTCTAAAATAATACTGTTCAAGTGCAGTACCGTACGTACGTATGTACTTCGTAACAAGAACAACGGATTTTGGAATTTTSAATCCTAAAAAACAAATGTACCTACCAGTAGGTTACTAAAAATAAAAAGTGAAGTGTGAATGGATTCCGTTTTYGAAGGACAGAACGAATCTGTAACCCCGCCCAAGATTCCTACCTAGAGCCAAAGACTTCGAGTACAGGTACGAGTACCGTGCAGGTACATACGTATCGTAATCTTTTTCTGTGCACGTGGAAAACTAGATTTCTCCGTGTCAGTCCGAATGAACTGCAGATGCTGGCAAGCAGCCGTTTCATATTTTATTGATTTACCATGTCATAAATAATATGACATACAGGTAGGTTGGTACTACTAGAGTTGCTAAAGCCAAGCCCCATGCTTGCAAGATGTTGTCAATTTCTCGTACAAACACTAATAGAAAGGTACCGGTACCTACGGAACGGAGCATACGCTAGCATCGGATATGCCAAAGGATACCGAATTCCCACCGAATTTGACGACGAGTTCGATTTTATTATTTATTATTTCAGTACGACGGTTCTGTGCTTGTGCGAAGTACGGGTACTCGTTTCGTCTTAGCTGTACTTGTTGTCGTACGAAGACAACATCATGATTACCTCTACCGAATATCGGCAGGTGTCAAGTCAGCATCCTGCAGTAATTATTGGTAAWCTCCCGAATCAAGTGTCATCGATACGGTAATGCCGCTTCGACTCATATTCGTCGTTTTCTTCCTCTTGCACGAGGCAACTGCTTTCCTGGCAACCGAAAAGCTTTCTCTCACCCGAAAGCATGGTCGAATTGTCACCTCATTCACGGGATCCAGATTAGTATCTCAAAACGGGGAAGGATTGGTTTTGCAAAGTAAAACGTTTCAGGAAGAGGAGTTCATTTACAACGCCMTTTTCCAAAATACTCTTTTCGCCGAATTACCCAATGACTCAAAGACTCGATTAGTTCKCGCTTTCGAGAGATGCCAAACTAAGAAAGGAGAAAAAATCATATCACAAGGTGATAGCTGCGAGGGCGGTTCTGTCTATCTTATGAGAGAGGGAAAGTGTCGAGTTATAGTAGATGAAAAAGAAGTTCCAGAACCATATGGTATACTTCGACCAGGGGCAATMTTTGGCGAGCTCGGTATCCTCTACGAATCAACCCGTGGAGCCACTGTAGAGGCTGCAACTAGCAATGCTACTTACTACCAACTCCCTGGCGACCTATTCAAGGATGTCTTGCAACAGTCTACAGAGTCTCAGTYCTGGTCAGAGATGAAAGAGATCGACTACGTAATCAATAAGGTTTTGGGAACAAATGAATTATACGGTGGGAGCGTCATCCTCCCGTATAAACCAGAGCGTTTTTGGTTGTGGAAACAGTATACTGGGACCGTRTTGAGAATTTCTCTCGTGACCACCCTATTCAACATGCTGTTTTGTATCCTCTTTGTCGTTTATGCAAGGAGTGTGACAGGCGAGCCCCTCTGGAGTATAGGSGCTGGTGCACCTRACATCTCAATCCCTTTCGTCAAGAGCTTGTCTTATCTCGGTGACATTTGGGATATTCTAAAAACTTTGACGACTTTCATTCTTACCTTCTTTGTCAACCAAGCTTTTGGTTTCTGGAAAAGTGTGTATCAACTCTCTCGCGATGTTCAAATGAGCTTGAGCGACTTCGACCTATTGATCGCGACGAACATCAAAAGGGACGAGGATGGAGTGCCTACTGCAGAATCCTCKGAATTTCAGAATGATATCTCTCATTATGCTCGTTTGTTTTGCATCCTGATGTGGGCGAGTAAAGCGAACAGGTTTTCATGCCTGACTGAACCCAATGGTCTAAAACGAATGGCAAGCCGWGGTCTCATGACTAAGAAAGAACTAAAAGTCTTAAAAAGTTTGGAAGTAACAGGCGATCGACTATTTCTTGCCCCCTTAGAATGGATGATGATCCGAAGCAACAGGGCKATGGATGATGGAATTCTTGCCGGTGACACAGCAACAAAAGGGAGACTCCTTGGCGAAATCACAAACCTTCGACGCAAGCAAGCTTCAATATCAAACAAAATAGATGGACGCATGCCTCTGGCATACGCTCACATGGTCCAGATTCTTGTGGATACGTTCGTGTTCACTGCACCCATCGCGTTGTACTCGGATCTGGGGGATTATTCCGTGTTTGCAGTCGGTKTTATCACACTGTTCTACAACGGACTCAATTGTCTAGCCAAAATATTCTTAGATCCTCTGAATAATGAGAGATTCCAAGAAWACTCCATCGTTATGGATTTAGGAGTAKTCCTACGAGAGACTAACGTTGCCTCCGAAGACGCCAGAAAGTCAGGGAGAATGTTGCCTTTTGATACACCATAAATTATCCTTTGCATCACCTGTAATAATTCYRACCGCGCAAAATTCCTTATCATTTGAATMAAATTGTCTAAGCAAGTTATTGCRAACATAACATTGAATAGCAGTGCATTTGCACAGTATGTCGTGGGCACTACRCGCMCATGGAAGAMAGCAAGCTMTTGTAAAACCATTCTATCGGCCGCTCCCTCAATTTAAAAGCCATCCGTAGATCACAAAATTTTGACCCTTTTCATTTCTTSCATCGATTACCCCGTTTGTGTTCGACGATGTTGCTTGATCTTGGCTAGTAGCGCACAGAATTCTTCTAAATCAATGACACCGTTCTGGTCCATATCGATTGATGCAATCATTTCATTAACGACGAGGTCCACAGGTTCGTACCCAAAGGCCGTATGCATGAGTGCCTTGATTTCGTCTTTGTCTAAAACTCCATCCTTGTTCAGATCAAAGCCGTCAAAGAGCTGTCGATAGTATTCCTCCGTGTCGGTAGTATTGTCTTTGGTATCGTCGTCGTCGCTTTGTTGACTCAGGTTGCCACCTACCAACTGAAACCACTGATCCGCCATACTGGGGTTTAGCTCCAGTTTGGTTGTAGCAGTTGACGTTGTTCCGGCTCCGAGCCATTGGCTGGATAGGTACTTGGTGCTGGACATTTCTCCCAATCGCGATCGGGTTCGATCGAAAGCAAAAACCTCGTCTTGCTGATAGGCTTCCTTATCGTCCACCCGAAAGATTTCCTCGACGCTTTCGGCATTTGTTTGCAAGAGCAGCCGGACCTTCCATTCGTACATGGAGTCCACGAAAGTGATGAAGCGTCGCAGCCAGTTGATCTCGTTGACGGTCATCTTTGGTATTCCATAGACAAAGACCGTCGAAAATTGTTGGCCAATCACTAGGTAATCGGCGGCTCCCAGAGCTTTTTGGCACAGGTCCTCAAAAGAAAACATGCAGATTGATTTYGCCTTGCAGGCCATAGGGATCTTGACCTTGCGGCCCTGTGTTTCAAGGGTGGACGGGTTACTCGGTCGGCCCTTGGCGCGTTCGTAGAAGAATTTCTGGAGAACCTTCTTTTTGTCYTTTCCACAGAAATACACCTGCTTGGCGCGTCGCCTGGCGGAGGGTTTCGGAAGCTCACCGCTATCGTTCGCAGAAGCTGATTCATGCTCCTTGTCGTATTGCGTGTCTTCGCCATCCTCGATTTCGTCGTCCTGGGCAGAAATGACCATTCGGTAGTCTGTCTCGTTGTCCATCAAGCTCACAACACTGCATTTTTCTTCCAGCAGATCGACAAAGGGCAGGAACCGATCCCGTTGCAGACCGTGCAGGTACAAATCCCTGGGGGGGCGATTGGAGGTCGTCACCAGGATGCAACCCTTCTTCCACAGGCGTCCGAAGAGTTCCTTTAGAATCATGGCGTCTGCCACGTCCGTAACCTGGAATTCGTCCAGGCAAAGCAGTCTCCCGGATTCCAGGATGTGGTCGACGACCGGTTCGATTGGATTCCCATCGCCGATCCCGTTCTGCCCCTGCCGGGAGGTGTGCATGAACTGGTGGACGTTGAGCATGAACTTGTGGTAGTGGACGATCTGTTTGTCCTTCCCCCACGTCTCGTCGTCGTCCAGGGCGTGGTAAAACAACTCCATCAAGAACGTCTTGCCGCATCCGACACCCCCATAGGTGTAGATTCCTTGGCTGCCAACCTCCGCTTGGTGGTTGTCGCTTGCGGTGGCATCGGAAAAGGCCTGCCCAAAGAACCGACCAAAAAATCCAGGCGATGTGCCCCCCTGCTGCTCGTGGCCCGTTTCCGTTTCCGTTTCCGTGTGCGTTGTTCGTTTTGCGTTCATCAAATCGAGGTATAGCCGGTCGAGTTCCTTTGCGGCAAACCATTGGTGTGCATCGGGTTGTATACCACCCTCGGAAATCAATTCGTCCAGTTTTCTCGTTACCGGTCCGCCTTTTTCGTCGCTACCGGTCGAATTCACACTCTCATTTTCATTGGTGTTGCCGTGGTGTGTGTYAGCGGAMGAAAAGAACCGAACCGTCGTCAGATCCRCCAATGCTGTCTGTTGYACCGRTGGATCGTTCCGCATTCCAATCGCAGACGACGTTCGTTTCCTCGTTCTTGTTCTGGTTCGCGATATTATCGATGTTATTGTTGTCGTTGCTGCTGCTAATGAATGACGATTCCTTCGGTTCCCGTCGTAAAGGGTTTGTGTTTTATCGATCGCACAGGACATGGGTTTGCRGTTTCTTGAAACAATTCTTCTGCTCGAACCATTGCCAACCTCTTTCCCTATGCGACGGATCCCTAGTTTCAGGAATCGGAGATTTGTCGATCCCATCCTCGCCTGGTTTGAATAAAAGTCGTGGAAAATTCAATTGCGTTTCTCCGCAGGCACAAAGCTCGAGAGAGATGGTTATTTTTCTGACAGTCTTTTTGTGATGGACGAATTCGCAATGAAGGTGGGCAGGGATCAAGTGTCGTTTCTCCTTGCATGTRATCAAATTCGAATCTACCGACAAGAATGCTTTTTTCTTCGACGAACAACACGAGTACCGTCGGATGATCGCCGATGCCAGCAGTTGCATGGTGACTGCAGTCTTCAGGCAATCAACAAAAAATGAAAAATCACGAATCGGAAGAACTTCTTCCCTGTGTCCACCGGTGTCTGCCACAAGRGAAGAACATGTTTGCGAGTGTGAGAGCAGAGTTACACGTGCGATACTCGTACTTGTACGAGTACGAGTACTTAATCTTTACGGTGCGGTAGTAGCCCACGTGCCGGAGGCAAGCGGTGGAAAACTTTTCAAGGTACTAGAACAGCCTCAACTTGACACGAAGAGAATGAACCCTTCCGTTACGTACCATACTTCCGTTAATAGCACGTATGACTAGCACGAATATTTGATAACCGTACCTCCTACCGTAGGTACGTACGAGTSCCGTACAGTTTTTTCATCGAGATTGGGGAGCGAGCTAGCCATGGATGACAATTTTCAATTTTTGATGACCTTCGTACATTTCGGGGGTGAATSGATACAGTAAAAAATTTCGTGATTTCCCTCCATTATTTTCGTGTTTCTACAATACGGCAATGCCTCTTCACATTGAAGATGAGGATTTGAGATTGGTATTGGTACGAGTATTTTCTTGGAAATGGAAAACACTATTTCTGCACCCACTGATGTTTCTCAACGTCACAGTCACAGCTCTGCGGAACTTTTTGTTCGGTCTTCTTTTCGGTTTGACGATGGCAATGCGCGCATAATTGTTTGGATCCGAACAAAAATCGAACACGAAACTCGAGCCAAGCGCACAAGGCAGCTCCCATGAATAGGAGTGAAACAAAATACAAGYCTAGATAAGACAAMTCTACACTGTCCTGTTCGAGCGTTCGTTTGCCACCAACTGTCGAGGAGGAAATCCAAGAAACGGAGCGATCCATYTGACAACCCAATAAGAAGAAAAAACATCACACATCACATTACATCGGATCACGTCACAAACCATAAAAACCATGGATACCGAAAGCAGCAATAACCCAAGCATATTCTTKKKGATCGCTCCAACATCCGGCCAYGTCCGTCCAAGGAGAAGCAGAAGATCGGCTACCTATGACATCGAGGAGAGAGGTTTCATGTCGACGTCATCGCCTGTCGGTTTGTCATCGACCATTTCTATCTTTCTGACCATCATGATCCTCTCCGTATCCATTGAAGGATTTCCTCTTCGATCTATGGAATTCCATAGTAAAACAGTCGATCGGGAAAGCTTACGAAATAAAATGCGAACGATACAGACCAATGGTTGGTTTCGCAGCGACAACCAAAGAGGGACAACGCCCCTTTCCAAAATAAAAGATTATTCTCGTTCGGCCCTTGCGTTTAGAAATCTGGTTTCCATGAGAAGYAATGTAGATGGGTACAGCAACAAGGATGGTGGTGAGGGAGAGGAGTACGCAGATGACCTCTTTGAAGAATTAGACAACGAAAAAGTATTCCCCCTGGAATTCGACGACGACGAGGAAGACGACAAGGAATATCTAGAGAGGGGACTCGAACGATTGGAATCCATGGAGAAAATGCTGCAAGACATCGAGGAATACTGTAGCATCGATGGCATGTGCGATGACGAAGATGAAGACAACGAAGAGGACGACGACATGATGATGATGATGGGAGACGTGGACAACCTGGAAGACATGGAGTCATTGTTCGATTTTCTTGAAGAGACAATGGACAGCGACGTAGAGGAAGACGTCGACGACATCTTCGACACTAGGGAGGAYGGAGAGGCGATCCAGGAAGTATCCACTRCAGAGGTTCCGACCACTGTCACGGCTCGGCAAGACAGCTTCTTTTCTCCGATCGGACTGGAAGAGGCCTTGCTCCAGGGTGTAGTCCCGGTCGACGCCGGGGTCGGATCCGGCACGCTACCAGGAGACTTCGGCTTTGATCCGTTTCGATTTGCCGATAAGGACTACGTCAAGGAATTTCAGTACCGTTTCCTCAACTGGCTGCCCGGTGGGAACCCGAACAACGATCCTCCGCCCAAGCCACGCCCAACGGCACTGGTGCTGCGGGACTATCGGGAGGCCGAGATCCGGCACGGGCGGCTGGCGATGCTCGCCGTCATCATCTGGCCCATCCAGGAAAAGATCGACCACTTCGTGCTGGGCACCGACACGGCCGGCCCGCTCCTCTACGGGCCGGTGACGCTGCCATACCTCCCCCTCTTCATGACGCTCGTCATGATGCTTTTGGGCTACCTGGACATTTACGCCAAGGATATCCAGGAGGAGGAGGGSCTCGGCGATGCCTTTTTGCCCGGGGATTGCTTCTGGGATCCCCTGTCAATTCTGCAAGGGGCTCCGGCAATGATGAAACGTAACATGCAGGAACGGGAACTTTTCAACGGACGGGTGGCAATGCTGGCCTTTGCTGCGTTTGTTTTTGAAGAGCTCACCAGCCACCAGGCAATTGTGGACATACCAAGCAACGAGGTCTTGTTTGTCCCGGCCTATCAGATCCCTGTTGTTCAGGAATGGCTTGACTCGCAGTTTTTGGAGACATATACCAGGTAACACGTTTTCGGAGACATCGCGTTGGATGAATACGAGATCAGTCAACATGAACACTAAGGATTCATAGGAAAAACAAGAAGTTCACAAACGATACTATTTCGGAATACCATAATAAGAAATCAAGATGCTATAAAGGACTGGTTTAATGAAAGTTATTTGCTACTATACACATAAAYTGTTTTCGAAAGAAATTCTTTCGAAGTTGTGCTGTTTTGCTCAATTTGAGGAGTTTTGTTTTTCACAGTTGATTTGATCTCSCTCCTGTGGCRAGAAATACGTTGGATCCTTACATCCAAAATTAATTTGGTTTGATWGATCATCCTCTCAGATAAATATCAATTCTGAAGCGTGGGCGTTTTTCCCATGTAATTGACTCAATACATGTACACCTCATAAGTGCTGCCATTATTCGAATCTTGCGAGTCCTTCTTCGCTATCATCGATTTTCTTTCATCCAAATCATTCAAATCAGCTCCACACAACGCACCTCCAAATGCAAGATCATCACGACCGACATCAAAATTAATTTCGTCTATGCTATCATTGCTATCATTGCTAATATGCCGCACGATGACATCCTCATGTTCTTTACCAATCTCGTTGTCCTTTCCACTGACGTTATCGTCGTAGATAGAATTCTCACTTTCGTTTTCGCTGCCAACGTCATCATTATCGCTGGCATCATCATCATCATCATCATCAGCAGCAGCAGCAGCAGCAGCAGCAGCATCGGCATCGTTCTTGTTTTTCATTTCGTTTTCATCGTTGTCGTCGTCGTCGTTGTCATTTTCGTTCTGGTTTTCGATATCATTTGTGTCGCTACGATACACGCCAACAACATCATCCTCTTCGTGATTGTTCTCTTCGTACACACTGCTTTCATCACCCGTACTTGCTTCCTCTTTTTTCAGTTGCCTTTGGTCTCTCAAGATTAGAACAATACCAACAAAGATCGCGGCKGCTGTTAGACCAACACCCAACCAAAGACCCCAAGGAAGTTTTCTAGAAGGCTCGGATGTCGCCGAAACCTTTTCGGTATCCATAGGYGGGAGCTCACTTGGGGGAACTTGTTTTGAAACAGTGATGTTCTCAGTCTGAAGAAAATACGAATTTCCATTGTTCTTAAGAATTTTAAGGAATGCATCCAGRTTCTGTTCAATCGACCCATCAACGGTTTCCACAAGCTCGTCTTCAGTGCAATATCTGCATTTTCCATAATATTTCAGATCCACCGACAATTTCGATGACGGAACCGTGGTAATATCTTCTTCTTTTCCTGAAATTTCCTCTATCTCTTGCTTTACAAAATATGCTTCGGATACGTCGGTGTCTCCATCAAGTGCAGAAACCATAGCATGGAATACGTCGCGAAAGTTTTGCTCAAAGTATGCTATTTCAGTGTCGTTCATTGCCCCTTCGACGGGGGAAATCTGGAGTTGTACAACGGAAGAATGAATCATCGGGTAGACATACATCGCATTAAGTATGGGGTTTGAGTCGCTGAATTCCCGTAGAAAGTCTTGAACCAACCCTATTGTGAGGCGTTCCATAGCGTTCTTAGGTGTGTCTCCTAGGTACGATAGTTTGATTCTTGATTTTACCCACTTGCATGCATCGCTTTCCGTAAAACACATATTGATAAACCGAGTATTCACGGTGTCGAAYTGAATGTCAGGCTGAGTCTTGCCCTCAGGTRTATCGCCATCAGGGAGTGCGGATTGGATTGAACTGATGATGGTAGAGTCGATTTGGGTCAAAGCGTCTTCTAATGGATGCGGTTGTGTGATGTTATACTGTTGTGCCAAGTCGGTGTCACTCGTGTTCGCTTCTAGTTTGTAGTCATATTCAACAGTYATAAAYTTTCTTCTTGAGATTTCTTGCATCCCATCGGAAAATGTCGCTTGGCCAGCAACGCTATGAAAGCCTAGCAGTGCCAACGGCAACACTGCAATGTTTCCAATAATTTTCATGTTTTTWAAAGATTATGAACTTCAAGAGCTCTTCAAACGAATGTTGCTAGTTTTTGTTTTCTTATTGCGTATARGATATGGTGTAAWAATACCCCAGACGAAGGAGAAGTGTCTGCTTTTGCTTCCTCTACAGAGAGGTCAATCGTTGTCAATTTGAGAAACTTGCAGATGTTGTCAAAATCGCCAAAGCATTTTGTGATGATGCCAAATTGTGACCAGTACGTCTTTTCAGGAGTCTGACACGCGTACCGGTACGCAGACGCCCCATCGCTGAATATTTCAGGTGGATTTGTTCAAAAAAAWTCATACTCCAATTAACAATACATGACCGGCGCGCGTCGGGGATGTAGTCATGAACAGATTCAATCCCTAATGAAATTCGAAAACAACAAAAGCATGCTTACGTAAGTACGAATGTACGTACAAGTAGGACGTACAGTAAGCAGTACCGTACTCGACTCTCGTGTCCATCCTCTCCTACGGTACGTACATACTGGTATCGCATAAAGCATAAGATCATGAATCATGAATGTTTTCTTGGTTCATGGTTCAGTTTACAGTTTACGGTACAATACTTAATGTTACGTACGACGTACAGACTGTTGYTCGACATTGATGCTGATGTCTTTGTCCGATYGACAAGGTTCTTCCATCGATCTATGTTTGATCGATTCACAACATCGATTCACAACACCAGGACCATCAACAACTTTATGAATCCAGACAAATTAGCAGGTACCAAATGGCAAATTTACTGAAAACATGYTGTCTTGTTGCAACAATTCAAACAACAATAATACAAACCAGCGAGGCGTTTCAGAATATTGTATGTATCGTTGATCGAACGAGCAATAAATCCAACTTCGGACATTCTGTCATCGTCCCATCGATTGTTGGGGTTGCACAAGATGAGATCATTGCGAAAAGAAGACTATCATCTTTCTCTTTATTTAGTGGACMTTCATCAGAACMATTCTTGGTTGACGAGAAACTCTCCGTTTTGCAGGACGTCGTGAAGGAAATGGATGCTCGGCACAAACAAATTCAAGAAAAATTGGAAACCGCCGAGCGGGAACACCAAGAAACCCTACGGAGCCTAGAAGATGAGTTGGACGAAACAAGGAGAATCACCGAAGCGAGAGACAAGATCATCAAGAATCAAACTGATGAAATGAAACAGTTGGAGGATCGGCATGCAGATGATGTCAAGCTGTTGAAAACCACGAACGACCAAGAACGTGAGAGACAAACCGAAGAGTTTTCGGCTCGGTCCGCGAATGCCTTGGAGAAACAGAAAGMGGAATATACCGTTCGAATCGACAAACTGCAGAGCAAACTGGAGTCGAAAGAAAAAGAAACAAAGGAAATGATCGACAATTTCGAAGAAAAAGATAAGGAAAAAAGCGATGTAATCGATGGACTCCGAAGCGATCTCGCCAAARCGAAAGCAATGCAGAACAATATCGAAACCAAAGAACATTCAGAAAAAGAACAGAGTCATGCCAAGGAATCAGAACTAAGAGCAATCGAAATCGAAACCYTGAAGGCAGAACACAAAGAGTACGTAGAAAAGRTTCGARACGAAGAATCTGAGCGAGCGGCGGGGGAAATCGAAAAGCTTAAAGCGGAACACCTACAGATAGTAGAAAAAATTCGAAATGAAGAATCCAAGCGYGCGGCACGGGATATTGAGATTCTCAAGGCCGAGCAGCAGTGGGTTGCGAAAGACATTCAAAACCAAGCATCGAAGAAAGCGGCGAAAAAAATCGAAAGCCTCGAGGCTGAACACAAGCAGGCWATTGAAGACATCCGACAGAAGGAATCCAAACGGGTGAAAGACGAAATCGAAAAAGATGTCAAAGTGATAAAGGAGATTGAGGAACTCAAGGCCCAGCACGAGAAAGTCGTCGAAGACTACGCGCTTCAACTCGACAAAATTAACAAGGAGAGAGACATGCTGTCTGCCAAACTCAAAGATATCTCTCTCGGGAATGAAGAGCAAGTGGAGATTGCAGCAGCGGCAGTTAAAGCGGGGGAAAAGAGGGAGAAGCGAATACGAAAAGAATCGGATGATTTWGCACAACAATTGAAGCAGACTCGAYTGCAAGTGAAGATTATGCGATGGGCCATGAATGGGGTGGCAGACGAAAACCGAGATTATTTAAACCAAAACGATAAGCTTTCTAGCGAGCAACAAGAGCTCGAAAGCGAGCTAGAGGAAGCGCTCCACCGAATYGCGGAACTGGAGGAGGAGAAACAACGAAGCTTTTGGCAAAGATTACGTGGCYGGTTTTCRCGAGGGGGGCCTACCAAAAACGCAGAATGATGTTTAATGCAGAACAAATTCAAGCTTCACATAACAAGAGTAGTAGGCATCACCGTATTTGGAAATATTGAGTACAATAGAGAGCTGACAGAGCAATGCAATGGCGTCTCTTTTTCGAGAATGTCAGCGAGTACAGAGAGCAGTTTGGTGTCATACCCCTCAAAATTCCAATCGCCTTGAAAATTGAATACTGAATGCGAAATTTACCAGTAGCCAGATAGATCATTGCTGTCTGTGCAAATTAGTTGGTGATTAGCGTTAACAATTTCTTGGCACATTTTCTAAACGGAGCTTCTCRCTTGCAGTTTGGGTGTTCGGTTGTTTATTTTTCATTTTTTGTTGGTAATTTAAATTTAATTTAAAAGGTAGATTCGAAAAGGGATTTTTGTKAAAAAAACATTTTCACATATTTTTTATTTTTCAGATGGYAAGATAGGATTTTTGGTACCTGTAGTTTTTCKCAGGTTAACGTTGAACATGAAAAATCGGAAATCCATCCACTTTTTCCAAATCTAAAACTTCATACCGTCGAAGGCAAAASYGATGACAATGAGACCATTGGTACTGATAAGCGCATTCCTCTTGTTTGAGTGTTTGCTAAAATCTGCCGTCAAAAGCCATGCCTTCGCASCACACACAAAATCGACGCTCGCCTTCCCAAAATCTCCTCGCTTCGGGACTACAGATTGCAGGATGGTTTTGAAAGACRAAGGCGGCGACGATGGTGTAGATTCCATAGCCTGCGACACTGACGTTATCATCATCGGTGGTGGATTGGTGGGTGCGGCTACGGGGTTGGCGCTCTCTCGAAGGGGTAAATCGTGCACGATATACGAGCAGACCCAGTCCCTGCGAAAGGTCGGAGCGGCGATAGGGTTGTACCCTAACGGTCTKTCAGCACTCGAGCATATCGCACCTGACGTGGCTRAAATGGTCCGAAAGAATTGCTCCCCCTGTCTYGTGTTCGAACGACGAGATGCGAGTACCGACGAGGTAGTTCGAAGCACCAGCGTCCCACATCTGAACGAGACTTCACCGGTGATGTATGCGTGGTTCTTGCTCCAGCAGCACCTCGTAGAGGCTTTGCCAGAGGATTGCCTACAGCTAGGGCACTCGTTTCAATCCTACAAGGTGCTGGACGATGGGCGGGTTGAGGTTTMTCTCTTRGACAATGGAAAASAAGTCACGAAAACGTGCCGTCTCTTGATCGGTGCGGACGGGATTCATTCAAGGGTTAGATGCCAGCTCCTGGGCGAACCCCCCACAACGAATTACTACGGCAAGGTCATGTACCGCGCCGTAATAGAGAAGGAACGGGTGGATCGCGTCTTGGAAATCCCTGAAGGTAGYCAAATCTCTTGGCAGGGYACCGAAATCGGAAAGTCCTTTTCGGTGCGGGAGACTACAGAAGGTATCATTACGGTGACAGCGGCTGCCCTCGATGACTCACCGAACGGCGATTCGAGGTCGGYCAATGCTACCGTTCCCCRCGACAATTTTACCCACAAAAAACACCTGCAGAGTTTGTTTTCTGGTTTTTCTCCAACAGTGGGTGCYATCATYGGTCTCTTGCCGGACACCTTCCACCGAGACTTTTTGCGCGACATCAATGTTCCCAACGAAACCGGCTGGTGCGACGGCCAACAGGTGCTGCTGGTAGGGGACGCCGTTCATGCAATGACYCCGGGGATGGGACAAGGGGCCAACCTCGGTCTGGAGGATGCCTGCGAAGTASYAGAAACCATCGTGCAAAAACGGCCCCTCTCGGACTTTGTGCGGGCTCGGATCGACCGGGTTAGAGCCATCCAGGAACGTTCCGCGGAAAACACGCTACAGTCCAATGCCTACACCAGGGACAACGCGTCGACGCCTTTTCAGCGGCGAAAGTATTCCCAATGTTTCAAGGATGATCTCTACCGGTGGAAACCTTCCCTGACAAAAGCCCCCACRAGGGAATGAGTAAATTCATGAATCAGCAATGAATTGCCATGGACCAATCCATGGATCTCCAAAGGCCTGATTGCCTCCCATTGGTTGTACACTACTCGTGTGTAACATTAAAAGCCAAAAAAAATTAGAATAGAGACAGTAATTTACAGGAAATTAGAATAGTATCCGAAATATTTGAGTGAAAATACTACTAGTACGTCACACTATTACTAGGAGTACTATGAGGAATTCCAACTAAACAAGCACTTAATATGATTGAACAAGCTACATACATTGAAGTAGACTAATTTTCAAATGTGAAGTAGTGTGGACCACACAACTACTACTACAAGTAGTAGTAGTAGTAGTAGTAGTAGTAGTAGTAGTAGTAGTAGTAGTAGTAGTAGTAGTAGTACTAGTAGTAATGATGAATCGAATTGCCACAGCCACTGCCGATTGCCTCACTTTCGCACCCAGATCGTGGTGGTTCTTCTGATGCAGGATAAAGCGGTACTAACTTAGTGATAAAATTCGAAGGGGGACCGAAATGTGTTTGTTTGTTCCCCTGARTTGCCAATTTATTTGATCCGATTTGAAGATCTTGGCGCCAGAACTTTCCCAACCTAAGGCTTGGTAGTACTCTTACAACCGGTACCTACCGTTTTGAGTTACACGCTCATTGTTCATTCGCACCTTTCAAGACAGCAACCCGGGCACAACGGGGCATTTCCCACCTGAGGACGGCAATCACAAACAAACCCTGAGACTTCTGATCCAACACGTTACCATGAGCCAGAACCAAGAGGAAACGACGAGCATTGCCAGCATCCGTATGGTCATCCAACGGTACCGAAAGGCGAGTTTGCTGATCGACGAAAAGGAAGTCGTCACCGTTGGAGACRGGGTTGGCAGTGCAGATTCTTCCGCAGAAGTCTTGCTCGGCCGGGATGGAAGCGGGGGCAGSGGTCACGTTGGCATGCTGGTATACATCAGTTTTTCTAAGACRGCAACTCCGGTGGAGGTACAGAAGGCCGCGAGAACCATTCTGAATCTACCGATTCAAACGGAGGGTGCATGGGGGGACGGATCCTCTACAAAGAGCATACTGCAAGCAGCGGGTTCGGTGGTGGATTCGAACAAGGAGAAACCGTCGGCCGCCCCAGTTTCGGTCATGCTCGTTCCGCAGGCCAATCTCATTGCAAAAGTAAAAAAGAACGGCAAGTCCGTGCAGTACCGCGATCAGATAGACAAAACCCGTGGCGAGGAACTGTACGATATGTTCGTAAGAACCGTGGAAGGCTTCCTGATGGAAGRACACCAGCGATTGACATCATCCGCTAGCAGCGTTGGCGCAAATAACAAAAGCAAGGCCGGGAACAGCAAAGGGAACARCGATGCCGTAGATCCAAGCATTCCACCGAAGGAACTCTTTCGTTACCGCCAGAAACAGCAGCAGGAAGAAGACGGCAGCCTCCTGTACGGAAGTTTCGACGAGTCCACCGGGCTTCCCCTCACCCTAGCCAGTGGAGAGCCACTGACCAAGTCGGCTTCCAAACGGGTCAAAAAGCTCTATGATGCACACGCAAAACGACACGAGAAATACCTATCGAAACAGCAACAAGAGCCACCACGAGAGCCTCAAAGCAGCGGTGACTCCAGCACACCGGCACCGTCCGCTGGTCTCGTCGCCGCCTCTCCGGCAACCGCCCAAGACGCACCCACCAGCGCCACGGCCAAGGCAGAGGACAAGCGATCCGGTCTAGATCCGTCTTTCGTCCGACTGATCGCAGGGAGTTTCGGGAAGCGGCAAGGCCTCGAACTTGTTTCGGACATGGGACCCTTTTGCCATGTGATYGAGCTGTAGGCGGCAGCGCACGAACAAAGTCTCGAGCGAACGGAAKAATCGTTGCCGCARCTCGGTGCAGCTTGCAGGGAGAGGAGAATTTCGTCGGAATCACTGTGCATTCGTTTCGATTCTATAGACATTCGTTCTTTTGTCGGTGCCGTGCCGATAAGGTTTCGTTGTTTTCGAGCCCGGGAGCTCTGCGTCTGCTTTGGAAACGGCGGGTTCGAGATATTGTGGTTCTTTACAAGTGCACCGACGCGACCGGAGCTCGATCGCAATCGGCGCCGCGGAGCCTGCACCAAACAGCTGCCACGCGAGGCGATTGGCCACGTGCCGGTCTCGGACGTGCAACAACGAGTGGTCTTGCGGGGAGCAGCTCCTTCTGGAAGGACCCATTACTGCAGTTGTTTTGGATCGAGGCAAATCCTTCTGCCTTCGAGTTTGAATTGGTGAGGATCAGTGGACTTTCAACTCCTTGTCGATGTGCAAGCACGAGCACTTAAGCCATGTGCGAAACGAAAAAAGCTGTTACTAGAAATAGTCTGTACAGTGCGATAGAAAAATGCTACGGTTTTTCAATAAACATCCAGTTCTTGTTTCTTGCAGTTTGAGTCTATAAGCTATTGAGGTGCCTCGTTCTCGTTCTAGTTCTCGTTCTCGTTCTCAGTTATTGTCTGTCCTTGTACTGCGGGACGCTCGTCTTGCCACGGACTGGTGTCACCGTCTAGCTGCTGCTCGTGACGATGTAATCCGCCAGAGGAAAGGATCCCCCGATGTTTTCGTCGAGGAAGCGTGCATCCGTGGTAGCGTCCACCCCGTCCTTGGCATAGATCAGCTGGAGCGTCAGCTGGTTCGGATCGAGTGTGTTTTGTTCCATCGAGACGGAGCCCGAGGGCCGCGTGTCGATGAGGGATGGATTCAGCATCACCGAGACGCAGTCCCTGCTGTTCCCCACCATCCGGTCGTACCTCCCGGGGATGCCGGCCCTGTATTTGACGTGGTCGGCCCCTACGAGGCCCACCAGGAGGCCGTTCGGGTTGTCCCTGGTCCACCGGTAGGCCCCGGAGGCCATGGCCTCGTCCCAGAGGATTCGCCCGCTAAAGAATTTCTTGAAATTCATTTCCTCGTCGAGTTTTTCCCCCGACATCGTGTACTGCAGGAGGCCCAGCTTCTTGTGCATGTCGAAGGACGGCAGGATGACGTATTCCACGTAGCACTTGTATTTTCCGGGCTTGGCAAAGGCGGCAAARCCCTCCGGATCGAGGATGTACTTGCTGCGTTTCTCGGGYGGCAGGTTCGAGAAGCCTCCGTTCTCGACCTTGGCCAGGTCCTCGGAATCTACGTTCAGGGCCACGAGTGGGATCTTYAGCTCCCTCGCCGTTTCAAAGATGCCCCTGTAGCCATCAAACGGCCACGTCCACCGCTTGTCCCACTCCACCTTTTCCCGCATTTCCTCKRTGGACAGGCTTCCGCCGATGTACGCGTCCAGGACCGACTGGAACTGAACCTGGACCTGCTCCAGTCCGATGCCGAGTCGCTCGCCGTTGCCGCTCTGGCCCTTCGTTTTAGAGGCGTGCAGCTTCCGGATGATGTCGATCTGAGCCCGGT